GTTTAAAAAGCATATTTTTCCAGTATTCCTGAAGACAGTATAAGGCCTCTACTGAAAGGAAAGAAAACAGACTTACTGTATCTAGCTATAGAAAAACCACAAGAGTTTATGTCAACTTGCAATCTAAAGGCATAAAGCAACTCTTGATTCTCTTTTTCCCTTTCAGTGCAGTTTTTGTATTCATAAAGGGAGAAAACTCATTAATTCTGATATAAATATATGCAAATAAATTTATTAATATAGGAAATGGGAAAATCAGTTATTGCTTCCTTTATAAATAATACAGGCTTAAGTTTTAAAGATATTACTTTTCCCTAAAATGAATTAGACAGCCCGAGAAAAAATCACAATTCTTCGTGGTGGTAATATCTTTAACCAGATTTGTCACACTAACAGCATTTCCTATGTATATATTATTTTTATTTAATACAGGTAATCTTTTTATTACAAATCATATTGTTTCTCAGGAGATTACCATCAGCTCTCATAAAAGCTGCAAAAAAAGATGAAAAAGCATCAATCACCACCAGACACAGTGCGCTGTGTGCAGATTAAATATACAAAGCCCTCTAATATGCTTCAATGAGTTACTTGTTAGCTGTTGATTTATTTATAGTCCTCCTTCTACTCTGTTTTAATTTCAATTTGAATTTGACTCCAAGGGTCCCTGCCTAGTAATGATCAAGAACAAGATGACCTTGCGCATCAGATTAACTCCAGCTAGGCTTATTCATGTGATTAGCCACTTCTTCACTCAGTCCCTTGAGTGGATGTGGGAAGGCTTCACAGTTGTCAGCGGTATAAGGAAGAAGGACATAAAATACAAGGAAGCAAAGTAGAACTGTGCTTTCATTAGGGATGAGGCTGGACCCAAATCCTGGTCAGAATTCACCTTGGGGGAAACAGCATCGGGGTCTTTCCATCTGGAATATGTGCTGGCTTTTTGTGGGAGTCTGTCTCAAAAGACAAGCAAAGACATGCGGGTTAAGAACTTAGGGTTTATTGACTTCTGTGTTTTGGTAGCTTATCCATGAGGATAGTTTCTCTCCATCAAAGATAATGGCAAAAGTAATTTCTTGACTTGCAGTTCCCAGACTTAGTAGAGTTTGCAAATCCAAAGGAGTTGCATCATAAGTGTGCAGGTACTTGAGGCGTCAAAAGGAAAGTGGTTATTTCCATCAGAAACCAATGTGGGGCGGTCCTGCACCTGAGGAGGAATAACCCCATGCACCAATACATGTTAGGGGCTGACCTGCTGGAAAGCAGCTCTGTGGAGAGGGACCTGGGGGGACAAATGAACCATGAGCCAGCAGTGTGCCCTGGTTGCCAAGAAGGCCAATGGTATGCCGAGGTGCATTTAGAGGAGTGTGGCCAGAAGGTCGAGGGAGGTTCTCCTCCCCTGCTACTCTGCCCTAGTGAGGCCGCATCTGGAGTACTGCATCCAGTTCTGGGCTCCTCAGTTCAAGAAAGATGAGGAGCTACTGGAGAGAGTCCAGCAGAGGGCTACGAGGATGGTGAGGGGACTGGGGCATCTCTCCTATGAGGAAAGACTGAGGGAGCTGGTCTTGTTTAGCCAGGGGGGTTGGACTAGGTGATCTTCATCTTCCAACCCCTACCATTCTGTGATTCTGTGAACTGCTGCTTAGGGTTCACCTGGTCCATGGGAGTGGGATCCCATCCTTACAGCATGTGGACACTTAGAGGTTTTCCTATTTAAGACATTGCAAGTCGAAGCCTCAGTTGACTGTTGTTGTGCAGAAGGACAGCATCCTCCTCATCTGGCACACACCAACAGTCTACAGGCAGAGAGAAAACTAACCAAAAGCTGTGAAGTTTTCTCAAGAGGTTAGCCATAAACAAAACCTGACTGCATCTCATGTTCATGAAAAGATTCACTCTTGCACCACCTCTGGGTTTTAGTGTCTTCATTCTGCAATCCTGCTGGCTTGTTCTTGCCTAGTGAAGCAACTTTGAGGACTGAATGGTTGAGGATGAGCAGTTATTCATACATTTTCACTGCACAGCAGAATTGTTTAAAGATACTTCTTCTATCTCTGACAATCTCTTTTGAGCCCTGGCAATGAGATGTAGTGTTATGTCCCATGACATACAATTCAAATTAATTAATCCTAATGAGAAATACATATATTAGCCTGGGAGTATGTTGCAGTTGGACAGATATACTGCTGTCAGTACCTGAAATTGGTATTGAGAAACAATTTGATTCTGTCACTTTATAAATTAAAAAGTCAGGGTTCTTCTGAAACAGTTTGTTCTTTCTGACAAACTAATTCAGATAATCTTCAAAAACTGAATCTCTATTTGGTTATTTTCATTATTAAAGAAATTTTATGTCAAAATAAATCCTTTCATGCTCAATTTAGGGATCCCTATATAAAGGTGGACCTGAATTTTCACAAATGCATACAATATCTCAAAGATCATTAGAAAATCCTGTAGGAGTTATGGCTACATTGTAAGGCATATACTCTTCATTCAATTAGTGATTTTTGGTTTTTTAATTTGTTTTTTCTTTTTTTTTTTTTATTGAGGCCTTAGTTCAGAGTGATGTCCGGGGCTACTAAGGCTGCTTTTGTCTAATGTTTGACTCTCATTAAACTAAACATGTTTAAATGCTCTTAGGACGCGAGGTAGTTTGTTTCTCTTTCCTTACATACTAATTCAGCTTGGGACCCAAACATTCTTCCCTTCTCCCCCTTTTTATGCTGTCCCCCCTTCCCATAAGGAATGAGCAGTGCCTGCAGGCTCCTGCCCACTCGGCCTTCCTGTTTGCCTGGACCTGAGGAATGTTATTTCAGTGGTACCCTCTTTCCCCAAAGGTTTTTCTCTGAAGGATTGCACATACGGTTGTTCACAACTGTGTGAGTCACAACTGAAGTGAAAACACTGAAGTTGTGTCCACTGCTTGCAAATCATTTTGGGATGAAAGGAATTAATTGCCTTCAGAAGCATTAATAATAGTGTACACTGGATATTCTCAAGCTACCATGATCATTTCTGCTTGCCTCTGTGTTATTGCAAGCTATGCTAAGACTCCAAGCTTTATGGTATTCTCAATCTACAAATCTACAAATTAGGACTAAGCCCCTAATATATGATCACAGTAAGTAGAGCTGGGACAGATCTTGAGATCTGCTTATGGCAGGGGGGTTGGAACCAGATGATCTTTAAGATCCCTTCCAACCCTTACCATTCTATGATTCTATGATTCTATGATATCACCTAGTAAAACATCTGATGAGGTGATTATTGCAGAATTGCTAAGATTCTGCATATATTTTTTATTTAACAGAATATTCACACTGCAGTCTTTTTGTCTGCCTTCATTTCACAGGGTGGGAGTTTTGATGTTGCAGACAGGATGTTTCACAGTGTCAAGAGCACGTGGGAATCTGCATCAAGGGACAACATGAGTGATGTCAGGGAACTCACCCCTGAATTCTTCTACTTGCCGGAGTTCCTAACCAATGCAAATCACTTTGAACTTGGTAAGTGCTAGAAGGGGCTTCAGTGCTTCCCTTCCACTCCCCAGCATCCTGACAGGGAAAAGATCCAGATCACATATTGGGAGTTGGTCCCTGGACTATGCTGACAGATGAGGCTCTCTAGCGATGGCAGATCATTTTTTATTAAAATAAGGCTACAAGAATATAAGCTTCTGATATCTGAATAATATCAGAAGAACTATGTTTCTAACTCAGAAGGGATTGTAGTTCCTATTAGTTACTGTGCAAAGGAATTGCACATTTTGTGAGACAAAATTAGATTTCAATATAAGCAAACTAGATGGCTGCTTTTGAAAATCTGGTTTGTATCATCGCGTCTATGTGGCTATGAACAATAGATTAATTTGACTTTTGGAGATGTATCACTTGTTGAAAGGTGATGGTGAAAGACTTTTTTTTTTTTTAATCTTGTGTCCCTGGTGATTAAAGTTGCCAAATGTCCTCACTATTTTCTTGAAAGGTTCTGCACAAACTACATGACCTGCTATATTATCATCCCGGGCCTCAAGCAGCATCAAAATCTCTTCTGAATGTACACGGTCCTAGATATTTCTGCGTCAGAGATGGAGGGTCAGAGAGAATCCAGAAAAAATACTGTTCAGATATAGGCATGGCAGTCCTGATTCACCTCACTTTACAGGAAATACACATCATTTGCAATACAAAACTGCTTTTTGTAGTGGACGAAGGTTGGGTTGTTATTAAGGTAGAGGAGAAACACCTTAGGAATCATCCTAAATTGGTGACAGCAAAGGAAACGTAACCCATGGTGCTGAAGTCTAGCTATAATTGTATTTAAGATCTCAGTGAAATGAGACATGCTAAGAAAAGGGCAGAATGGGAAAATGATGTTAGAAGATTGTTAAATGATATGAAACAATTGAGGTAGCTTCATCTTTAGAGGAGGCCAAGAAACAGAGCCCGGCTGAAATCAAGATTCAGAAACTGACCTGAGTGGAATCAAGTGGAGGGACCTAAAAAAGACAACAGAATCTTGCTAACATGGAAAAAAATATACAGGAAGATTTGATAACAGGCAAAGCCAAGAACCTGAATCTGTTCACTGCTAACACTGTCAGGAAACTTGCAGTCCCAGACCTGAGCCTTAACTTAGATTTTAATTCATCCAGTTGCACAACACTGTGCTCTGATTTAAGAGCATATGCTCACCTTCTTAAAGGAATTAGATTGCAAAGAACTTGAGAACAAAATCTCTCTCAGTGGCTGATTTACTAGGAATATCTGGCAGTTAGGCCCATGGGATTATGTATAAAAAGAAAGTTGTGCCAACAGGTTTGTGTTGTCTGAGTTTCCAGTCTGAGCTAAAATGGTTTGTGCTGAGGATGTGTGTTTTTACTGTATTAGTGACAGTTACCAGAACATCTTGTCAGTGCTTTATTACTAGATCAGAAATCCCAAGAGAAACTGGTTCTGCAGTGTTCTATGGCACTATATTTGATGTAGAACCTGAAAGAGTATGTGTGAAAATCACCTCAACTTCCTTTGACTTCAATGTTTTGGAAAAGCTGTTCCTATTTGCAATGTATACAAATCTTGTTTTTAATTCTCCCTTTGTAATTCCTGCAGGCTGCATGCAGGATGGAACAGTGCTGGGAGATGTGCAGCTTCCTCCTTGGGCAGATGGGGACCCCCATAAATTCATTCTCCTGCACAGACAGGTCAGTGAATATCAAGATTTGGGAGTAAATGCTGAACTGGGTTCCACTGAAAATGAAACTCTGAAGGCCAGAGTCACAAACCAAAATGTTAGATCCAAATGCATCTTGCCTTTGCAGAGTTCATGCTGGGTTCTAAACTTTGTATGTCTACTTGTCTGCCTAACAATTCACCTTGAATCAAGGCAAACCAGGTGAGGTTTGTATCTAGGACTGTGGCATGGACCTCTCTCAGCCGCAAGTGTATGTGAACATAACATAATGCATGCACTTGGCATTTATATGAGTGCAGTTCCACGTTGTTGCTATCCAGCTGTGTGTTTATTTAAACTATCTACCTCCACATCTGAGTCATGCCAGGACGGGGGGGGATGAATGTGATTTCTTGCTTTTAATGGAGTCAGCCTTGGCAATTTGAAAGCAAATAGCTTTAAGGGCCTGAGACCTACTCCAATTAGTGCTATCTGTTAATAGTTAGAAAGTCTTACTTCTGTATGATGTCACCTGCTACGTAGTGGTGAGTGCAAAGACAATTCTGTATGAAGGTTGCTGCATTGAATGGAGGCTTTGCCACTGAATATCTCGGTGCACATCTCTCTTTTTGTTGGAGCTAAAATGGAATGGGCTGTACTATAGTGCCACTGCATTATCTCATCAGATTTCCTCTGGCAAAAGGAGTCAATCTGCATTTGTGAGTCCGTGCAGATTATTACTGTGTACTAGAAGTGTGATGATTATATATGTCAGCGTTGGTGGGACTAAACAAAAAGGCCATGGTTTTCAAGACATTGCATCATCCTGGTTCATCATGTGTACCTTCAGTTTCTGCTTCAGTGAGTTATTCTCACCTCTCCTACCCTATGCAGGCCCTGCCCCTGGGAGTTCAGCTTACGCTTTTTGTAATCTCCTTGTAGGTGACTGCATCCAAACCTGTGGCTACAACTGTCTTCTTTATTTTGATATCTCCAAATAAGCATCTCCTCCATTGACCTCTCCAATTGCTCGTTCCTAAATCTTATCTCTGATGTTCTTATTGACTGCCTTAAGTTTTTGTTCCCGTTTGAACAAAACCAGAGTCATACTCCTGTCTTGTAAATCTTCTTTTCTCCACTGTTCCCTTAACCCTTGACAGCAATCACCATGCTCCCATTAATTTGCCATTACTTTCATGTCCCTTGATTTGCACTTCTGTGCTGCATTCATTGTGATTGTCCATACCACTAAATCATTTCCATGCTTTTCTTGGGCATTCTCTTGAATCTTCCTCTCATTCTTTCTGATGTTCTGACACCTTATTTCAAATCAGTACAGAGACAACTGGAAGGAGACCATCTTCATTGTCTGGCATTTAGTACAAATCTCCTTCCCCGTGCCCTTATATTTTGAATTTCTGTATGGCTCCACTCCTTATACCTAAAGTGTCTCTCCTTTCCCTCTTGAGACCCTATACATCTATTTGATTTATTTGTTCTGGCCTCTTCTTACATCTCCTTCTCGCTGCGGCCACCTGGGTGCTGTCAGTAATCTAGTCTTAATCCCGTGTTTTGCAATGCCATTTTTTATCCATGTTTAAAAAAAAATTCCTTTATAAGCTGCTCTATGGGCTGTGGATCCATCCTGAAGAAAATGTTCTTTTATTTAATCAGTTTTAAGAGAACAGGCTCCTCGTAGCGTGCATCATCTGCATATCTTGCAAAGAATTAATTGTTGTTAAAACTTGATATTCTAAACACAAGTCAGTGCTTTGTAGCACATGCATCCCATGTTGTCTCTATAGGTTACTTATGCTTCAAACACTTTGGTTTGTGAATAACTCTGTGAGTCAGCCTGTTCAACTCTGGATTCATTCACACGTGATCAGGTTACTCCTGTGAGTGAACATGGATATGATCTGATCCTGTGCTTGCCTACTTTTTTGTGCAGTAGTCCTGCCTTTGTTTCTTTTCTAGGACTGTTGAGCATATAGTGAGATTTTTTTTTGTTTAATTGATTAAGAGTCTTTATTGTGAATTCATGACCCGAACACTTCACTTTAAATCTGTCAGAACAATAATGCTGAAAAAAAATGCTTAAAAGAAGTAGAATTTCTTACTACCTTACCTATTTTGAAATGGATAACTTTTTTATATACTTATTAAAAATCTTGTTTTCAGTCATTTTGAAAATGTGATTGAAAGTAGTCACCTATCACTTTTTGCCCCAGAATCCTTCCTCAATACATAAAAGATTGTGAATTACTGATATTCCAAGTTATAGAATAGCTGCTTACTATTATTAGCAGGTCTTAAGAGTCTCCATGCCTAGGAGCTTGACTCAGTGGTGTGCTGCCACACAGTTTAGTAACCTGAGCCAGTACATTGAATTTACAGCATATTCAGTAACTAATCAGTCCCTTTACAGAAGCTATATTAATCTTCTTGTTCTTGCTTTTATCCTGTATTTCTGTAACAGTTACATGTATAACTCAGATCACAGTACCCAGTACTACTGGGCTGACAAGCAGATAGTAAGTAGACCTGCTTGGGAAAAAAATGTATGGAAGAGTTTTTCAGCAGATAACAAATCAGGTTGAAATGGGAGTGTGTCAGTTGTAACAAGAAAATGTTTCAATAAATCATTTCAACATTCTGTGTTTGTAACATTTCAAAATGACATTTTCATTCCAATGTTTATATTATATTATAGGCTGAATTGAAAATATTTTATTTTATGATGTAGCTGTTATAGCTAGTATTGTATGGTATATAGCCTCATTATTAGTGAAATACAAGGATGTCATTTTTCCATATTTAGAATTGGGAAGGATTGAGGAGGATTTTGATACATGAGAAAATTAGACAGTTAGGCTTTTTGTTCTGATTTGGAAAGAAAATACTATTCAGTGTCTGAATTTCCCCCAGAACCTCTCTTACATTTTTCAGTCAGACTCTATCCACTGCCTGTTTGCAACCTATTAGCTTGAGGGGATAAGGAGAGCATGTTTTTGCCAAAGAGCTGAGATGCAGATAGATTAAGTGCCATTTTCAGACTGCTTAAGCTCCTGCACATACACAATAATATGTATTACTGAGTCAGGCATCTCTGAAGGTGCATAGAGAGCTATTTAGAGGCAGGGCTGTAATCACACTGAAAGGTAGTGGGAGGGAAGAGACCTGAGTTTTTGTCAGTGCCCATAACCACGTGATGATATATCTGCTTTGAGGAGATCCTTGTGTAAGTGTTGTGTGCACTTCAGGCTTGTACAGTGCTTGCCAAAGCAAAGAGTTGTGCCTAGGGAATGCCCAATCCTTTCCCTTGCAGGGAAGCGACTCCATGCTACCCACTGCAAATGGGGCCACTGATGTCAAACATGCAACAGTTCCCTGGTATTCCCCAGTGACTCCAATGAAGGCATGTAGGTTTTGAGGCTCTCTGGTTCCTTTCTCTGATCTGTCTCATGCTCTCTCTGTGACCTCCAAAGGTGTTTAGTTTCTGTTCTCCAGTTTTCCAAATATGGGAAAGACAACACTGTCCTTCCCTAACAGAGGTGCTGCAGACAGAAATGCATAGATGCCTGAAAGCTGCTGCAATTTTACACTGATGTTTTTCAAAGAAAAACACAGAGAGAAATACTATCTCTTATCTTGTGTCTTGTTTGGAGTGTAAAGTACTGAGCTATGCTGCTTGCTGCTTGTGTAATAGAGGGCACCCCAAAGGCACTTAGATACAGTGGGGAACATCTGCTTTTGCCTTGTACTTTGGAGTAAGGGTGCAGTATGGGAAAGAATCTCAATAGTCCCTGCATAGAATGGTTTTGCTGTCATTGTAGAGTGATCTCAGATTGAATGAACTAGATTTGTTTTGGAAGAAATGAAACCAAAAGCTGCGCTGCAGTTGTGCACTCCAGATGCTGGTGGCATTCAACCAGTGGGAGCAGACTAGATCTAGTTTGAAGTAAAGCCCCCAAAGTACATGTAATGTGGATACTGGGCCCTCTCTACCATCTGTTCTGTTCTACAGATCTGCTTCCACTAGCTGCATTATTTGATAACATTGGCACAGCTGATAAAGCCACACAACTTCTACAAATTAATACAAATCTCAAATACAAGCAGTTTAGCCAATGAAAGATCATGTTTAAAAACTCATTTTCTTTATGATTTGCCAGATCTGATCAGACCTCACGTGCAGTCAGCTCAATATTCTCTCTCCAACCATAGCTAGTACTAGATGTTACACAGGAGAGTGCAAGAAATCTTGCTGTGGAAAGAAAATTGATTAGCCTGCCTGGGAAAGTTTGTCTAACCTCAAGCTAGTGATCTTGAATTCTGAAATATGAGGGTTTCTGTCTCCTCTGAAATCATCCACAAGGCTGGATGTGCTTGTTACTGGTATCATGGTCATTTTTGTGAGGTTTCACAGTGAGATTAGTGCATTAAACAGATCTGGATCAACACTGTTCCGAGGTTTGGCTATTACTTTAAAGAATATGAGAGCAAAGAATTGTTCTTGACATGAAAATCTGAGTATCTCCCTGTTTCATGTTTAATAAGTTAGGAATCTAGTCTACTAAAGAAATTTGTTTACTTCCTCCTGAGTCCACAAGTTCTCTCTTCCTGGTTGGGCTTGTCATAGTGCTCAATGAAATACTGAGAGGCTGCACAGTTGCAGCTTTGTTGGTTGCTTTGTTTTGCTCTGGTAGTGATGCCAGGCAAAATTTACAGTTTGTAATTCATGGACTAACTGCCTTTATTAATGAGGATGAGTTCTGAGTCTGTTCATAAATGTTTTCCTGTTGTTTGCAGGGGACAGATTGTATGCCATGCTTGTTCTCTGAGCTACCCTGTGATAGTTATAACTGTGGGCAGGGTCATTTAAACCAGCTGCACTGGGCTAACTGTCTGCTCTGTGAAATGAGCCATTGTTCTGGATCCCATTAGCTTGTTTATTTCTGCTGTGCTTTGGGTGAGATGGTCTGCTTGGGAGACCTTTAACTGAGCATCAGGGAGTATTGCACAGTCAAATGATTTGGAGATAGCAAAGTATTTTTAATAATGCTTAACATTGCTGTTTGAATCATTGGGCAAGGCTGTTTGGGAATGCACAAAAATTTGGTGAGGCAGGTGATGGCAGGAGCAGTAGCATTTAGTGAAGTCTCATGTGTAAGGCTTGGGGTGGATGTATTGCCTCATAGCATCCCTCCCAGTCTTCTCTGGTAGTAATTATGCCTTCTGGTTCCGTTAATCCACACACCTGTCACTATGGGTGGCAAATCTAATCAAAGTTAACTATTTCTTATTTTGGGGAAAAGAGTTCAGACCCCGAGTTTTGCCAGGATGAGGAAATCTGGTGCTGTGACTCTCTGCTTAAGCCCTGTAAGGCTAGCAAAACATTTTGTGATCAAACCCAAGCAGTCTTGAAGCTTGTGTCATGCAGTTGCCCTGCTGTACCCTGACTCTACTATTGCAAAATCCCTTCCCTGTCTTGGCTTGCAACACCCCTTGCCATTTCAGTACAAGCTCTACGTTCTCTTTGCTGACTCATGGCATGCAGCCTCTCCTGCTGTATCATTCAGATCCAACTTAAAGCCCCTCTGCTGGTCATCTGCCTTTCCAATCTATGTTTATACATATCTTCTCAAATAAAGTCTCTGCTACTCAGTGTATTTCATAACTAAGACATATTTCTACAAATAGACTAGTAGCTTAATTTACTTGTAATTTATACCTGCTGGAGAGCAGCTCTGTGGACGGGGAGCTGGGTGTGCTGGTGGACGACAGGTTAACCGTGAGTCAGCAGTGTGCCCTGGTTGCCAAGAAGGCCAATGGGATCCTGGGGTGCATTAAGAAGAGTGTGGCCAGCAGGTCGAGGGAGGTTCTCCTCCCCCTCTACTCTGTCTTAGTGAAGCCCCATCTGGAACACTGTGTTCACTTCTGGACTCCCCAGTTCAAGAAAGATGAGGAGCTCCTGGAGAGAGTCCAAGGGAGGACTACAAAGATGATGAGGAAACTGGAACATCTCTCCTACGAGGAAAGGCTGAGGGAGCTGGGCTTGTTTAGCCTGAAGAAGAGAAGCCTGAGAGGGGACCTTATAAATGCTTATAAATGTCTTAAGGGTGGGTGTCAAGAGAATGGGGCCAGACTCTTTTCAGTGGTGCCCAGCAACAGGACAAGGGTCAACGGGCACAAACAGAAGCTTAGGAAGTTCCAGCTGAACAGGAGGAAGAACTTCTTTACTTTGAGGGTGACAGAGCACTGGAACAGGCTGCCCAGGGAGGTTGTAGAGTCTCCTTCTCTGGAGATATTCAAGATGTGCCTGGACAAGGTCCTGTGCAGCCTGCTCTAGGTGACCCTGCTTCGGCAGGAGGGTTGGACTAGATGACCCACAGAGGTCCCTTTCAAGTCCTAATATTCTGTGATTCTGTGATTATATATAAAGCAAAGTGGTGGTACCAAATGCTAACAAATGTTTTGCTCATTTAAACCACAGAATAATAGAATGATTTGGGTTGGAAGTGACCTTGTGGATCATCTAGTTCCAACTCTTCTGCCATGGACAGTGACACCTTCCACTAGACAAGATAGCTCAAAGCCCCATCCAACCTGGCCTTGAACACTTCCAGGGACACTGTTGGTGAAGACATGATAGCACAGGCTTTGATATAGGCTGGAAGCTGGAAGATGCGCCAAGATTTGTGGAGTGCTTGCACATTGCTTAGTGGAACCTCCCCGTGTTGTCTTTGAGAACGTTGCCCCTTGATGTCTGCTAAGTCAAGCATGCTGCGCTCTGTCCTTGCTTTTCCTATGGGGATCCACCCTTCATCTCTTTGGTCATTTTTTGTGAGGATGTGCTGAGATTGATGGTACTGGAGGAGCTGAAAGTGTGAAGATTCACTTGCAGAGAATTTACATCTCCAGCAGGGACTGGAAAGTGGTAATGCATTTGTAATGGATACACTCTACTGAATGAATTAATTTTCTTTTGCTTTCAGGCATTGGAAAGTGACTATGTCAGTTCACACCTGCATCGTTGGATAGATCTTATTTTTGGCCACAAGCAACATGGCTCAGCTGCGGTGGAGGCAGTTAACACCTATCACCCTTACTTCTATGGAGACAAGATGGACCTCAACAACATTAAAGATCCTCTTATTAAGAGTACCATTCTGGGTTTTATCAGCAACTTTGGACAGATACCAAAGCAGGTACCACTTCATCATGCGAGTAGAGAGCATAATTTATTTCAATCTTCTAGTGTTTCAACTGGAAAGCAAGAATAAAAACTTAAATCAGAGACACTTTCTAATTTAAATCTGCTGAAAGGTGGGATATAGACATCTCCATATTGTGTACTACATCAGTATGTACCCACATACATGTTGTGATTCCACTTCCTAATCATTCTGTTCCTGTTGTATGCTATACAGCTGTGGCATCAAATCTGAGTTCTGCTCTTTCAGTACAATCACATGAGTAACCTCTAGTCTGGGAATGGGTACAGTCAAATAAAAACAGCTGAAAGTCTCACCTATATTTTTCTCTCTTCTCCTAAATTGCTGGGATTAGCTTCCTATCTCTGTGAGGAAGGGATGTAGTCTGACAAAAATGTAATAAGGGTAAGATTTTATTTAAATTAAGAGGTTCATGTATGACAGTCCTGGAGTCTAGGATTAGAGACTTAAACAGATGTGTCCCCTGCATGATCTGGCTAACAGAGATTCATTTTTCAATGCCATTTGTTTGT